TCCGTGTTTGCAAATGTCAGTATGTTGATTTAATAGACAGGTGACAGGTGACAAACTTATAGTTCAATGAATTGATTTGTGTGTGTAGTCAGTTAGTAGAGAGCTGGATTGACTGGGTTTAAGAGTACAGTCTTCCGTCTTCCAGTTCCTTTTTGATGATGACACTGTAACACTCACTGTGTGCACAGTCTGCACACTGCGCAACTATCATTTGGCAGGCTTGATCGAGAAGACGATCAGAAAGCTCCCCAGCTTGGATTGATCAATGATAAGGGCTTCAAGAACACCTCTGGCATTGGCTTGGGAGTTTTGCAGGACTTGCAGAAACTTGTGGGTTGCCTCAAGGTTTCCGATGAGCAGAAGGGGAAGGAGTTTTTGCCGATGGAAAAGCAGGATCTCAAAACCCGAGGTCAAGAGAACTTCAAGTACAGTGCACGGATTAACTTGGTCTTCCGCTCCAACAACATTCTCAAGACATGGGCGCGTTCAAAACAACGTTTTTCAAATCTAAGACTAAGACTAAAACTCTAGACTGGACTATGTAAATCGCAATTCACATTCCAATCAAATCAGATCTGCAGCGGTAATGATGGTCCTGCATCCTTCCTCTTCCACAGGAAGCTTTGGAACACTGTTCTTGAGATTGCAGTCTCCACGATCTCGGAGAAGCAAGCCATCAAGCAGGCTTCGGATCTTCTCCAGCAAGGGCGCCTTTTGCTTGACATGCTGCAGACAGAGGGCAGTGTTGACATCAGTGCTCTCAATGCACAACTTGAGAAGTGCGCAGACTTTGTGGAGGTCTCCGCCAACCTGAGCACCGCCCAGGCTGAGCAAGGAGCCATGTCCGCTTTGCAAGAGTCCATCAAGGATGAGTGTGATTCCAGGTTTGGGGTGTCTCTGCTCTCATCTTTTCAAGAGTTGTGGAGCAAACAGTGGTTGAAGAAGGACGAGGAGACTACAAAGGTATCGGTTGACATGGATGGTGATGCTTCGACTTTGATCTTAAAGCTGAAGATTCGAGGACTTTTGATGAAAGCTTGTCTCCCATGATTCATTTAGATCATTTAGGATGCAGGCAGAATTCAGAATCGTCATCAGTGATCCGAAGTTTTGTGTTCATTTAACTTCCACTGTCATGCAACTCACTGTGTCATTTGGTTGTCAAACCATTGCAGTGGGGGCATGTCATATTCTGTATACTCAAACTATGACGATCATTGATCATGATATGATATGATTATGACTCTGACTCAAGTCATGTCAGTTGTTGGTCTGAAGGACTCATCTATTGGCGCTTTCTCAAGACCGATGGTGGGCTGTACAGCCGTTTGTGCGCAGTGTGTTCACTTGTGACAGACTTCCATAGTGTCGAGGAGCCCACATTGGTTGAGATGACCAAGTTTTGGTTGGATCTGTCATGCCATTGGAGGATGTCCAAAACTACCTTTTCTGGTCAGCGTGAAGATTGGGTTTGTTCGTTGGGCTTCGCTGTAGAGAGGCTCCAGACTATTGTGGAGGAGCTGGGCTTGGAACAGCTCAAGAAGTCTTCGGCAGAGAACCCGGACAAAGCTCTAGAGCTGTTGAATTCTTTGCCATGTCACCCAGGAAAGCTGACCAAGTGCAGGGACATCTTGACGGACAAGAAGTCCCTTTTGGAGCTCAAACCGGACTCCATCAAGGCAGACAACATGGCCGAGCTTGCCAAGCACATGGCGCATTGCCTCAAGCTCTGCTGCTTTGATCAGGGGGTGGTGGAGATGTTGCTGCCCCAGGCGCTTCCGGAGCTGCAGGCTTACGTGGAGAACACAATGTCCGCCCTCAAAGAATTCATTGATACTATTGACACCGAGTTGGCAGACTGGCGAGAGCTCATTGCCAAATACAGGCAAATTTTGTGAGGGTGCTGATGTGCAGTTGCTCTGTATGTAGGGTCCCATGGTAAGGTCAAATGATGTTGATGATTGATCAAATCTGAGCTGAGTAGGTCTGTGAGAAACAAATCAGTCCAAACAAATACACAAGTTCTATTTCGTGCTCATTGGTTTGGAGGTCATGCGCTGACGTGGCGGAGGCATGGCAACAGGACAAAATTGGCTCCATCATGTGGATGTTCAGCGGGGCCAAACAAATCGAACAGGACATGAAGGACATGTTGGACACGATGCACGGGATCCTGTCCAAGCAGCCAACCGTAAAGGCTATCTTGGCATGTCAGAGCGCGGTCAAGAAACATGAGAAACTGGCATGGACTATGGTCAAGCTCCAGGGTGTTTCAAAAGACATCGAGGAGCCATCACTGACACCGGATGTCATGTCAGTTAAGTTGGATCAGTCTGCAACTACTAGACATCGTTTTATTGAGAATTGAGATTTGAGACATTTGAGATTGATATTAATATTCAGATTCATATTCAGATTCAGATTTATTATTCAGAATTCAGAATTCATATTATATTAATATAATTAAATTAATATTGATATTGATATCATATCATTGAATCATTGAAATCATTGAATCATTATACAAATTATACATTATAAATTATACATTAACTATTTGTTGCAAGTTGTGTGTGTGTGTTTTGATATAATCGCTGATCGCTTCTGTCCAATGATCTAGGTTGCGGCTGTTTGAGTCAGAAACCGGAATCGATGCACAGTTCACATTTGTTGTGTTTTGTTTTCCACGTGGTCGACTAGGACTTGCACTCTGCGTGCGGCAAGACCCTTGCGTGCTTGATGTGCATGGATCTGGTGCTGAACAAGGACAAGCACCCAGACATCCTGAAGTCTCTTCGCGGCGTGTGCAGTTTCTTGGCCAAGAAACTTGGCATGTCCAAGGAAGATTTGCCACAGGTGCTCAAGCAGAAGGTCGATGAGCTTGGCCACAGCAGTGCTGGATCTGTCCCGTACCAAGGTTTGCAATAATTCACTAACTCAGATTCTAACCCAGAATCAACCGAAAACATTAGATTTTAGAATGTGGAAAGGTGACTGCTCCTTGCATCAGATTTGTGTCTGCATGCATGCTGTGTACTGTTGTATTCTGTGCTTCGCTCTTGGTTTCCTGGTCTGTCAAATACCCCCCAATTATCCAATTACCAACTTTACAAATTGGGTCGGTGGTGGACGTAGACACACAGGGATGGAGAAACAATCTAGCCCAGTCAGTCTGGCTCTGTTTTTTGAGGCAAAGTGCCCCGAAGAAGGCTGCTGCGCCTGCTAAGCCTTCCAAACGAGATGGTGGCGATGCAGCTGAAGCACCAGCTCCAAAAGCGCGCAGGGTGGTTGCGAGTGGCCGCAAGAATAAGTGATGGCGATGCTGCGATGAGCTGGGTTTTGGAATCACTGTGAACAGTGATGTTTTCCAGGGTTGATGTAAGCTGGGATAAGAGGAGGCAAGAACCAGGACCAGGAAATGACTTTAAAACAAACTTTTGGGCTATTGGCCATGGGCCAATGGTGTGCTGTGTAAGTAAATTGTTTTTCCAAACGGTTTGTCACACCGCTGAATTTGCTGTTGCGTCTTGCTGCCCTCCACCCAGTTTACTGTAAGTTTGGGCACTTTCAACTTTCAAAGACCTCTCCTAGACCCTAGGAGGATCTATAGGTAGGATTCTAGGATGCCAAGGGCCACATGACTGAACTTGTGGTTGACGGCAAGCGCAAACAGAGACACACACGAGGAGATGGAGAAGAAAAGGGCGGGTCACAGAGTCGCATGTTCAAGCTTGGTATATTAGTGTGTTGGTGTTGCGGGATTGTTTGACTTATGTTAATGTTTGAAGTTCTCTGTTCTGAGAGTGCACCAAAGCACAGTCGTTATATTATCGCCTACTTCACCAACAAACATGAACAGTCTGCGAAAACATACTTTATTCCTTAGAATTTCTTAGAATATTTTAGAATTAGTTCAAGATTTCTTGTGATTAGTTCCCCTTACTAGATATAATGATCAGCCCAAATTTAGAATTAGTTCCAGAATTTTTAGAATTAGTCTCAACCCCTGTATACATGGCAACAGACAAAGAGGCCAAGGCAGGCCCTAATATATATCTATACTATTCTATACTATGCATATGTGCCACCCTCCAAAAGGGAAATAAAAAGCCCTCAAGCATGTTCAGCGAACACTACGCAAAAGCCAGTGAGAACCATTCGAAGGTATCCAACCTTAAGCAAACGATGATACAACATCCAGCCATCCAACAAATACAGTAGACAGTTCAGGCGGGGTTACCATATACGCTTGCTTGTTGTGTCAATGGTTTTTCCTGGCCACCAGGTTCAATATTCACACTGCCTCTCCACCAAAAAACCGACGGTTGCATCACATGCGGTGAAAAAGACCGCGGCGAACCGCGGTCAGCACAGCCCGGAGGTGACCAGTCTCGGGTCTCGGGTCTCAACTCGTCTGGTCTCGGGTCTCGGTCTCTGACCAACTTGCCAGCCGCAATGAAGCTCCTGGAGGCCGGACGGAACAGCGCCCAAAACGGTAGAACAAACAATACACCGTTTTGGCGTTCCTGGGCATCGCCTTTGGCAGGTGCTCGTTTTCGTGGAAGGATCGGGGCACCTTCGTGGATCATCGTTGTGTACAAACGGGCTGGATCAGTATGGAAGGGCCCTTGCAGCTATTCTCCAGATGCTGGTACTGATCTTGCGACATGATCCGCAAACGGTCGTAGGCAGGATAGCAGGATTCCAACACATCTGACCCCCGATGCTTTGGTGTTGCAATATGTGGCAATATATGTTTTGCATGATGCAAAACCCGCAAGAATCATCAAGAATCACTAGAAGCTGCCGAAGAAGATCCTAGTCAGGTGACTGCAGGTCACCATTAACTTGAGATTTGGTAAAGTGTCAAGCAATGGAGTATGTATCAAGTTATGGTGTGGGTAGGTGTGGGACACCCAAGGCCAGGTCAAACGCCCGGTGGACCGACACGCACTGGCACCACGCGCACGTCCCCAGACCGCCCCACAGAACTGGACCGCCTACATCGGCTTGCGTGATGTCGAATGGCAGCGCGGGCAGCGCTCGAAAGACCTGATCTTTGGCAGCGCACAAAGCAGCTGTTCCTCCTTTGGTCCTTTGGCATGAAAAGACTCCACAGTTTCATGACCATGAACTGACCTAATGTTCACCTTGGAAATGGCCAGGCATGCCATGAAATGGTGTCAAAAACCTGACATTTACTGCATTGACCATGCATGGTTGATTCCTGATTCCCTGATTTCTCGACTGCTCTCTGATTTCTCCTCCCTCGTTCTTACGTCCTTCGTGTTCGCGTCAAACCCCAGACGGACCGACCGCCAGCTCCGGAGTGGTCCGGGCAGCAAAGGTGCGCGGTTTGGTCGGCTCGCGAGGTACGAACATCCGGATCCGCGTTCGAACAGATGTTTTCATGAATTCTATTTGGAGTGCAGGACGAGAATTTGGACAACATGTGGAGAGTGAATGTGAATTGGTGAATTCCATCTCCCCCAAACATTGAAACCAGCGCTGAGGTCGTTTTTCCGCCCCAGCCGCAGCCCCTGAAGGATCCGATTTGGGGGGCCAAAAAGGACCGCCTTCTACAGTGATGTCGCGCCTCTGCTTTGGGTCGGCTTTTCAGCCTTCTCGGGCTCGCTGCGGCCGTCGCTTGGAGCCTGGCCACGGTGAGCCGCGGGTGCAAAGACACGAGGTACGGATGAATTGGAGATGCCGTACGGCTTGCTGAAGAGATCGACATCACACCATGCAGTCACACAGTACACCTGCTTCTTGATGTGCCCGATGAGCATGGCAAGAGTGATGCTGAAGCATGCTGAAGCTACTTCGCTCAAACGCCTTTTTTTTGCCTGCCAGGCCAAAAGCTTTCGAGGCGCGCTGGGAGTGCATAAAGATCCGGGAGAGGCTGAACGTAGAGGTCCCTGACCTTGTGACTTGTGGCCGTCTGGGACATCAGTGCGGCACCAAGTCGGGGAGCTTTCAACCACAACCTGGACCCAGCACATGGTGAAAAGATCATGAAAAGTCCTGCCTCTCTCGCTATGGGAGACGTACCTAAGGTATACATTCAACCACACACAACAGTTTCAGACACCCAACATGCCCGAAAACGCTTTCAAGCACGGTGCAGTGCAGTGGATCGGTGTTCATGCTTGTTGTTTTTCTAGCATTCCATGCTCTCGACCCACCCCATGGCCCATCCACCCATTTCGGCCATGCGACGGAGCCCAAGACCTCCATCTTGCTCACCAGAAAATGGTCCCCTTCCAGCCATCCAGCTTCCTTGGGAGTGCATCGACTTCACACACCTTCACATCACAGAACAAACCTCTGGGGAACTGGTCAGCACCTGAGCCGAGCGGTAATACTTCTGCCAACTTCGATCATCGCATGGCCATGGGCCATGGTTTTCCCATGACACATGTCCACCATTGTCCACCAATTATACACCAGGAGTTTCAAAGGGGTGCGATCCATGGAGGTTAGGGGTGCCCATCACCCACTCACTTAGGAACTAAACACCACCCCCCTGTGACCCCTGGTATATATACATATATACATGTTGCAGATCCTTGGGGGGAGGGTTTTTGCCGGAAGATGCTGCTCATCATCTTTGTATTACACGATGGAACACACGTGCGTTTTTGTTCTTTCAGGATCCCTAGGTGTAATCCGTGTAATCCATCATGATTCTGAGCTTCAAGCACATCAGCTCCCACCGACCCTCCCTCAAGACATGTCCAGCAAAGCTTCTGTGGCCTTAGCCAAGACCTCACTAGCATGTAGTGGAGCAAAGGGGGGTCGCGAGAGCAGGGTCACGTGTGGCAAACATCCAGGGTCCATCGGCAAGTGCTCAGGCACTCGAAGCGACATCACCAGCAAAGCGCCTGCAGTTCTTCCAACGAACTGTTTGGCACTTCAGCCTTGGGTCTAGCCAGCCTACCAGCTTCTTTGGACCAAACAAACTTCGAAAGAAGGACCGCCCTCCCTGGCCGTTTCTCCTCTCTAGGACCGCCTCTCAGTCTCGAAACGTGGCTCAGGATGGCTACGGAGAGGTAAGGAGGCGTGCTCCATGGGACTGGTATATGCCGATCACTTGGGGTGGCGCCAAGTGAATGACGACTGATCGGCATATATGGCAGCCCCATGGAGTGTATGGGTCTATTTTGAGCACTTGGTTCACACGATTTGCGCTATGCCACTATTTGCCACCAACTGCGGCAATGACCAATGTATGCCAACATCCCCTCTGGATTGCTGGTCGGACCCCCTGCCTTCGAGGTAGATCAAATGAGCAGTGTGCAGTTCCCACTCGCTTCCTTCCTTGGCTTGCAGAGTTACACCACTGAGAGGCAGAACTCAGGCTGGAACCTCCCATAAGCGCAAACAAAGACTTTCCAAAGCGCTGCACGTCAGGGCCGCTTGCAAGTCAAGGGGAACTCTTCACCCGGTTCGAACGTTCCAAGGTTCGAACTATGGACGCGCCTCACGAACATGGAACGTGGAGATCGATCCCCTGTTTGAGCCCGGAAAGTGGTCTTCCAAGAAGCCATGTTTCACTTCCATGTTAGTGAGTCAGAGTGTGGGAATGGCTTTGCATCCCACTCTCTCTAAGCCTGGATGGTTGAGTCTCAGATGACCTTGCTGCCTGAAAAGACCTCCACAAAGAACAAACAGTTTAGTTACTAGTTTCACCTGCTGAGTTGGCTCCTAGTAGCGATGCCAGGAGCCCCTAGTAGCGTCCTTGCTCCTAGGAACAGTTTAGTTACAGTACTAGTTTCAGCTGCTGAGTTGCTAGAAGCCAAGCTGATTCAGCAGCTTCACATGCTTGCAGTGCAGCGCGCGAGCCACCCAGAAAGAAGGTCGTCATGTGTAATGGCTCCGTTGGCCACCTAAGATAGGTGTTGGTGTTGGTGATTCACCCGTTCTACCACGCGTTTGTCGACATGTAGGGGAAAAATGGGGAAAATGGATTGATAGCAGTACGAGTACAAAGCACTCCCACAGTTCAAATCTTGTGTGACTCACCACAGGGAAAATCTTCCTCCAAACCCTGTTGGGAAAGGTCCACCTTTTGTTATTTGATGTCACCCAAGGAGGGGCAAAGCTGTTGCCCGGTCAAACCGGTCGAGCTTTCTGGCTCTTTTTCGGGTGCAAGTGCCAAGTGCCAAGTTGGAGTGCCATGAGAAATGGCTGGACTGACTCAAAGAAACACCATGAAACAACCATTTCAGTTCGGACTGCCAGGTGGACCAGAACCTTCCAGTTCGGGGTCACAAACGGAACGCCCGTTCAGTCTCCATCCCGAAGGGATGCTTCGAGAAGCGGACTGTAGAGTCGGTCCCGTACTGGGACCGACTCTTCCCACGGTTCAGGCTTAACATCGACCGCTTGTGACCTCCATCCTACCCCCCGCACCAACAGTAGAGATTCTCCCGCTTTAAAGCAGAAACGTCAGAAGTCCAATCTCTTCAGAGGGTTCGGACTCTCAGTTCCGACTCCGGCTGCCGGGCTGCTGGAGGCCTCCCGGGCGTGGCAAAGGGGGCTCCAAAGCCAAAGCCAGCGAGTCTAACTGAAGTGCCAACCCTTCAGCAACCTGCTGGAAGAAGGGCTGATGCTCCTGCCGGTTCGGAGATCGGTGCTCCGTGGAACGGGTCGAGACGAAACGAGGCGTTCGAGTCCGAAGGTAGCAGGGAAGGACCCAAAAGCCCATGAGGGGGGAAGCTGAGAAGCATAATAGAAGCTATTACGGTTGGAGGCTGTTGTTATTAGGTTGGAGATGGTTGGAGGCCATTGCTAGTATTAGGGAGCCCGTGAGGCGGGGAGTGATCGCTTGGCGCTAAGGCTGAGGCAACCTTACGCACTCGAGGCCTTGCTTGTGAAGTTGTCATCCATGGCGGTGCCTTTCAAAAAATGTGTCGAGGAAGATGTTTGACACGGCTCCTTGCATTCGTGTAACGCACATGAAAGATGTCACCAATGTCAAAGCTCGAAGAGGAAGTTGATGCTTCTCAACTCTCTGCCCTTCCAATTTGGCAAACCAGCAACGATCTGTCCAGGTCTTGTCCTTTACTAAGACTACACAGACACCGCGTTCCCCATTTCGACGCCGGAAGCTGCTCCGGTTTCAGGCAGAGTGCCCCCTCCGAAGGGCCGAACGGCGTAACGAACAGGCTCTGTCCCCCATACGCTGATACCTGTCAGCTGCATGAAAGCAATGCTCCTTTCAATAGGAAGAATCCATAATTCATAAAAAGAGTTACAATCATCAGGTTATTGGATACAGTATTTCAAAGTATTGCCATATAATTTTCTAATATTATCTATTGAGAAGCCCCTTGAGGCTGCTCCCTGTGCGCACAAGTCCCTCAGTATCGCATTCCTCCCTTGACTTTGAGGAAACTATCGAAGCTAACAAGAGGGGCGTGATTGAAGGATGAGGTAGTCGTGAAAACCCCGCAATCGATTTGACAACTCTGCGTGTCCATCATCTTTAACTATGCTCCTCAAGCGATACATTTGGCCATAGATGGACTATATAAATTATAGGAACCGAGTCAAACCACATTGAAGCATATTGAAACCCCGCCGAGCACCGCCTGGTGTTCATGTTTTGGATGACCCTCCTACACCCTCCCTACCCCCCCAAAAAAATGGACGGAACCCCGGAATGTCTTCGTGTGCCAAGTAAAGTCCCCAGCATCTCCTGCAGGTTGAGGCCAATGTACTGCGGGACCGCTCCGGACGTGGCACGCGCGGCACGCGGTTCGGAGTCCCTGGAGTTCGGCGGCAGGTGAGGAACCGTTGGCCCAAAAGGGGAATCCAAAGAGGCACCGTACCAGGCACGCCGACAAAGCAATACCTTGGGTCTATCCTATTACCAGGTTTCAGTGGAAGATGATGGTCAGGTTGAAGGCCGACATCTCTAAACTCGTGATTTGATTTGCTTATATTTGCTTGTTGACTGACTGTTACAGGTTTACAGGGACAAACCCAAGCCAGTTTGCAACAGTTTGATGTCGGAGTGCCCTTAGGACGTCGGACGTCGGGGTGCCCATGATCCACTCAGCCACTCAGCCTTGCCAACTGCTGGGTGTCACTGGGCGGTTTTGGGAGGAACCAACTGGTCGAACCGAGCGAGCCCGGGACTCGGGGCACCATCCGCGCGACGTGACGTGACGAAGAAGAATCGTCCAATCCAATGAACGACGATTGGAAGTCCAAGCGGTTGAGAACGTGCTAACATGATCTAACATGCCTCATGCTTACACACAAATCACACGACACTACGACACTAGTATTTGGGGAAGACACAGTTGCTAGTTTCGATGGAAGAAGGTGTGCTGACCGGCACGGTGCCTATGTCAGTTGTGGTTCCAAACCGTCACACATCACCTTGACCGAGACTTTATCGTCTTGCCACACTGCTGCTATCACTAAGCTAGGAGTAGGAGTGTCAGCCACTTTACTTTGCTTTTGGCTTGAAGATCCTTTATAAGCTCTATGATGGTAGTTTATTCTCGCAAGTAAGCAGCAGGAATTGAATTCTCTGTCCACTGCTTCCGTTGAATTCTTAACACCCAGGCGCGGTTCTCAGAACGCTCGCGGTTCTCATGCCCCAAGACAGGCCAAGAATCTCCTGAATATCTTCAATTTGCTGAAAGTAGTGCCGCCGTTCCTCCACCTTCACGCCTTGACCGGGCTCCGGTAAAGAGAGAACCGCCGCTTCCTCTGGTGAAGCGCCAGAGCGCGCCGGAACCGGGCGAACCTTCTTGATGCCGGCGCGCTCCAAGGCACGTGACGCTTCGCGCATCAGGATGGATCATGAGCACATGGCTCGATATTGATGCTTTCTTGAGAAAAGGACTCTCTTCAACCAGTCTGCTGCGTGGGTACGCATCTATTGCTCAAGTTCAACCTGCAAAGTCCGGCTGTGTGCACTGCCAGGCCGTTTGCTGAATCACTTTTGGGGGTGGGGTCATGTCGTCCGTACATTGCAAAGCCAGTTCCAGTAAAGGCATATCAAGGAGTCCAAACATGATGTTTCGGGCAGCCAGGGCTTTTTGTTGACGCACCCGCAGCATAGAATACGACACCATTGATTCACGACTATGACTACGGTCTGCGTAGGAACCAAAAGCGTCCGATGGATGCTGGTCCGGGGGTGCGACAAATCTAATCGAATTGGCTGCAAGTCTCGTCTAGCGTCTAGTGGATTGTTGAAGTCAAGTCTCCCTTGAGCCTGGGATCTTCGTGCGGATCCACCTAATCAACGTGTCATCGTGATGTGGTGGCTACCACAAGGGTCGAACACCAGAACACCAGAGAACCACCACCACCACCACCACCGCCACCACCACCACAACCACCACCACCTAATACAACTTAATACTATTATTCCCAGGCTGGACTCCGACCGACCAAAAGGCCAGTTCGGTGTCATCTATGGAGCAAACTTCCGGTTGAGATCACTTGTCCACATTGGAACTGTTTCGACACTTGGGTGATCTTGGGTGCTCATTCTTCCGATAAACTTGAGGTTGCTGAACTTTGGCAAAAGTTGGCAGCCTTGCAGTCTGAAGGATTTGACCAATTATATAATGTTATTTAATCATCCAAATCCCATTCATCTCAATTGCGCAAGGGATCAAATGGCTGGATCTTCGACTTGCAAAATAGCATTCCTGGCAGCATCTTTGCATCTTGTTCATCATTTTTCCAGTTTTCTACGTCCATCTGAGTGAGTATCAAACAAAAACGGGCGTTTCGCATACGCGCCAAACCCGTCTTTTTTCGCGGAGTCTTCTGTCCAGCGTGGGCCGAGAGTGTGCGGAGGTCTGGCCCGAGCAAAGCGCGGTTGGAGCAAAGAGATGAGGTCTTTTCAGAGCTTCGTCTGCGGCTTCCAGCCCATCCACTCATCAAACTTGGCCTTCCATTGGAACGCATAGGGCTCCTGAACCCGTGAGAAGAGTGAAAATGTCAAGACACCATTGAACAACGTGGCAGCTTCCAACATTGGATCAGGGTGGAGCGGGCCCAGGTGTTGCAGGCAAGCAAACTAATCTGATCACGTCCAACATCATCCAATCATCTAATCTGTTGTCAGTAGCTTGTCAAAGCATAGTTATAGACAGAACACCCAATAAAACAAAGAAACCCCATATTATATCATATTATGTGATATTTCGTTGTGAAGGTCTGACGGTCCAAAGAATGTGGTGGGCTCCAGCATAAATCGACGAAAAAGCGATAGTGACAGCAGGACTCTTCAGTCCAAAGTTGACTGAACGCTACCATGCTGCTGGATTGTAGCCTTCCTGCCGCTTGGTCTTCGGATTCAAAGGCTCAACCGCCATAATGTAGAGAAAACCCAGCGCGCCCGCGCAGATCGCCATGACTTTTGGATCGAAGGACATCTGATCGAACGGACTCCGGCGCGGAGTCCGCGTGTGTGCGAGGTGCTCCTCTGCTCTGCAGTCAACTTTGAACCCGGCCAGCTACGGCGTTGGTCACATACAGCATGAAGAGCAGCAGTGGCGGCAGCAACAGCAGCAGCAAAAGGAGGAGGAGGGAAGAGGGGTAGTAGGTAGTAGGTAGTAGCAGCAAGCAACATCACTGTGTGGATTGGGTGACATCACATTGCGCCAGTGCCAGCCCTCAGTGCCCGGTTCCTCAAGCCGCTCACGCCAGGAAGAACAGCACCCCGAAAAGCCGGTATAAAGAACCCGGGTGAGTGCCCAAAACTACCCCTGGCACCGCTGCTACTGCTCATAAGGCCAGGAGCTGCGTCCTGTTGGGGTATGCACTTCAGCAAAGGTACAGAAGTCAACTGCAGTAATGATGATGTAGACATATGTAGACTCTTGATTAGTAACCCCCCAATTGAATTGGACATCCTCTTCATATGGTTGGTCTATTAATCAAGAGTCTGGAGTCTGAATTACAATAAAAAATATACCCAAACCCTATTGAAAAAATCCATTCAAAATGGATGAGCCTCATCCTCATCGAGGCTCTCATGCCGCTTTCGTTGAACAACCTGGCCCAGCTGGCAGCTGCACTAAGAATCTTGGATGTGGTTAATCTCTCATACTCGCCAGTGCGTCCCTTCACTATTGATGTGTTGCAGGATTCTTCCATTGTCCTGCTAAATATCTCGCGTGATCCTTAATTATTAGTTATATTCTTCCATGACCATCACGGAGGACAGCTGAGATCCGAGAACTGTGCATCAGAAAATCTTTGCAAACACGATCGAGTCCCCGTGTTATCTCCGCCTCTCCGCCTGCCAGCCTCTCTCATCTCTCTCTCTCTCTCTCTCTCTCTCTTGATCTTTCTGTGCAAGAAAACAAGGATCCATCTCCAAACTGAGACACCCTAGAACTCATCCGGGCGAAGTTCTGCCGGCAACGAAAATCCCCGAAGTCACCTCATTGCTCATCACCTCTGGTGGCGAAGTCTTCTCGCCTGGTACGGCGACCGGAACTTTGACATCATTCGGACGAGGAACCGCGGGAACTGTGCTCACCTAAGTGACATTTACACTCCATGCTAAACTCAAATCTTATATATTTGTGGAGTTTGGAAAAACCTGGTTGGATCATTAGTTTGGTTTTCTTGTGATCCGCCAACCCCCCCAGTGTCCCTCACGTGCACTGGGGCTTGCCAGATTTGCCAGTCACTGGGGTCCCGTTCCGCTCGCCACGCCGCCCCGTGACGTGAGTTCACACCGGGAGGCGGCGATCAGACTGCCTGTTAGGCCTTAAGTGATCCTGCCATACCTTTGGAGCGCGGGTGCAGTATCTTAAACACGAACGTGTGCTTCATTTGGGGGGCCTTCTGCATTCTCCAAGCAGGACCGGACCCCCAAAACTCCACTTCATAGGCCGGGACCCCTTTGTCTCACCCTTCATCCTTAGTTCTTCAGATCCAACAGGTTCATGGCCCCCGGGGTCTCACCGTGGTCGATGCCACACCTGGTGGTGCTGGACTCATGCCTGTCTCTGACACCTGGCGGGCCCAGGGCCCATGCGGGCCGAGTGCGGGAGGGTCAGGGTCCCGCCACATGGCTGAACAGGTGAGTTTCTTATTTTGTGTTGGTTCTTCTCCGTGATTTGAACAATTATTCTGGCTTTGAGCTAGTGATACATGATGACCAGGCTTTAGCATGGCCATAAGTATAATAAGTAAAGACATGTAAAAACTTCCCAGGAGGGGGCCCTTCCTTTGGGACCAAGACCGAAACCGCAACAAACTCCCATCATGGATACATGGATGAAGATTCCGTGACATCTTCGCAGGCCGCGACTGGTGGTGAGAAACCTGTTCCCATTCACAACCTGATGAAAAGCACAGAACTGCATAGTCACAAACCGTCCAGCGAATATCCGCGCGCTCCGCATCTTCCAATGCGCGAAGAAGCGCATGCATGCGCATGTGGCATCACGAACGTCACTCTCCCGCCCCCCCCACGCCCCCACCTGAACCTCCCGCATCCTTCCAACAATCCAACCCTTGTGTGCATGTGCCATCTGGGATGCATACCCAAACGAACGGCATGATCCTGCCCACCAACCCACCCGAGAAAAAAGAAACGACCCAACGTCATGTCAAACTTGTCATGATGCCGCCGTAACACGCAAGAACCATTGGACCATCGGCCGTTGATCTCCAGGTCTATTTTCCGTTGCCACACATACAGCCCCAGGCCATAGGATCGAGCAGGTGTAGCATTGAGATCATCGAGCACGCTTTGTGGGAATCATTATGTCCCAGTGCGAACACTAGAACTAAGTCTCCTCCACCCTTGCGGAGAACACATTGGGTGTGGGACGGGGCTCAGACTCAGACACACTTAGGGCGTCCGGACTCCAATGGCTGACGAGCTCTCTCAGTCGGACCGGGAGGTTCCTCTCTCCAACGGGACGAAGACGAATGTCGTCCGCTGAAGCCACGGGCGATTCCACGATCCATGTCGAATCATGCCACCGAAATCCCCTCCCCCC